TCAATGCAGTTCCTTTTTAAAGATCTGTCATCATCAACAAACTAATGCTCTTATACTACTCAGTACCTAATGTGGAGAGCAAAGTCAGGGATTTTATAATCAATAAAACAAAGTTATAGTGAAAACAGTATACTTGTGGTAGATTTGGCCTAATTAAGGAGTTAACAGTTAATGAATACAGAATAATTCAGTTGTAAAATATCTTTTGATGCCAAAGATTATTGAATAAGGTGAATTGGGTAAAGAAACAGAATAGTAGATATTTGACAGGTTTTCTGGTTATTTAGTACTCTTCAAATAACCCCGCTTTGTTTCAGGACTTTCCATCTGCCTGAATTCTAAATCCCTAAAACAGAATCTAGAAAATTTCAGTTCCTGTTTCCTTTTGTAGCTCAGGCATGGGCATTTGATTAGGTGAAGCAAACTCACCTGTATTCAGCACAGAATCTGTTTTGCTGGAAGGAGTAGCATCATTGGTTTCCGGATCAGGTTCCTCATGGAGAAGAGAAGTAGCATTGGTATGGTGGCAAGAACAGACATAGTAAAGTTGAGTTTCTGGCAACATCAGAAGTGTAGCGTCTTGTGTTCCATGAGGGTAAAAATGGTGGCAGTTTCTTCTGGCACCCCACAGGAGAGCAGCCGTTTTTATCATTAACCTATTTTGGGGTATGGCTTTGGTCATTGCTCCTGGAAGCTTAGTCTCAGGCCTGCCTGATTCTTGACAATTTGAAACAACCTGTTTAATGCTTTTTCAGCTTCTAAGCGGCCAGAGACTGGTTCTGTGACTTGTAACCAAGACCGACAGTTAAAGCTTTTATAGTCCACTTCCTGGTGATATGAGTTAGGCAAAATAAAATTGGCTGGGCACAGTGGCTCATGCCTGTAATCCCAACACTTTGGGAGGCCGAGGTGGACAGATCACCTGAGGTCATGAGTTCCAGACCAGCCTGGCCAACATGGCAAAACCCCACCTCTACTGAAAAATACAAAAATTGGCCAGGCATGGTGGCGGGCGCTTATAATCCCAGCTACTAGGGAGGCTGAGACAGGAGAGTCACTTGAAACTGGGAGGCTGAGGTTGCGGTGAGCTGAGATTGCACCATTGCACTCCAGCCTGGGAGACAGAGGAGGTTCCATCTCAACAATTAATAATAATAATTAAAATTGAAAAGGAGGATGAATGCAGATTAAGCTAGTCTGCAAAAAAAAGATAGAAGTATTTCTTTGCTAAAAGGCACTCTTCTGTCTACAGCCTAGAGCCTAATTGATTGAAAAGTCCCATAATTTAGAACCTTGGAGAGTTAAAAATGCTAATCGTTCTTATCCACTAAAACTAAAGCCAATGCAAACAGGAGAATTCTGAGCTGTAACATGAAATAAGATCAATGCTTCAAAACTTTCTTATTCTTCCAGACAAAGATTAGATGTATGATTCATTTATTCACTGGAGCTTATTATTCTTCACTACTTTAAGAAGTGGCCACTAAGGTAAGGGTTAGGGGATTGGACAGAATGTAGAGGCTGTTACCAAAGGATGACAGTCTTCATGCTTATTTTCCTGTGCCTACTAGTGCGTGGAAATGACTGGAAACTAATTTAAAGCTCATAAAGTTTTTGAGTGAATTTTATTGCCAAGAAACTCCAGGCCTGACTAGCTCTTTTCACTTCTTAAGGCCAAATGTGGGCACCTAAACTCGTGTCACCAGGAAGTGGACTATGAAAGCATTTAAAGACCCAAAGAAGGCCATCTTCCCCAATAGCTCCATCACAGAACAATGAGGCTCAGCAGGACCTTCTGGAAAACTAGCACTGTAACCAAAAATACTTTATTTCAGTCTGGATGAGACCTTAGGGGACAGGTAGTAAGTGGATGTATTCTACAGATGGAAAGGAGGATGCATGTTGCTTAGCCAAAAGGGTGATGCTTGTTGCCTCTACAGTATCTATTCCCCTGTTCTTTTTTTTGGAGATAGATTCTGCTTCTGGCACCATCTCAGCTCACTGCAACCTCCACCTCCTGGGTTCAAGTGATTCTTGTGCCTCAGCCTCCTGAGTAGCTGGGACTAAAGCTCAAGCAATCTGACCACCTTGACCTCCCACAGTACTAGGATTACAGCCATGAGACACCATGCTCGGCTTCTCCAGTTCTTCTTTACTAACTGAAAACTTGTGTTCAGGGTGCAGTGTACCTAGCAAAAAAAAAAAAAGAAAAAGTTATTTTCTAGAACATGTGACACCTTTCTGGTCTATATAAACCCTATCAAGTGGGTGTTAATTCCAAGAAAGTCATTGTTTTCCTGTTTAAAAGGAATAGACTGAGCTGGCACTCTCCTTTTACCCTTTTCTCTTCTCTCTTCCCACTTGGAGTGCAGATGTAATATGGCAGCAGCAGTGAAGACAAAACACTCATGGAAGGTAGCAGAACAAGAAGAGAGAAAGAGCCTGGGTCTTTAGTATCACTAAGGACAACACTAGCCCAGGACTGCCTTAATCTGTATTTCTTGATAATGTGAGAAAAATTAAATCCCTTATTTAAACCAGCTTGTTGGACTTTGGGTTGAATTTGTTTTAGTCCTTTGTTGTTGTTGTTGTTGTTGTTGTTGTTGTTGTTGTTGTTGTTGAGACAGCTCCCAGGCTGGAATGCAGTGGCATAATCATTGTTCACTGTAACCTCAAACTCTTGGGCTCAGGCAATCCTCCTGCCTCAGCCTCTTGAGTAGCTAGGAATACAGGTGTATACTGCCATGCCTAGCTAATTTTTTAAAAAAGTTTTTGTAGCGATGAGTCTCACTATGTTTCCCAAGTTGGTCTCAAACTCATAGCCTGAAGCAGTCTTCCCACCTCAGCTTCCCAAAGTGCCAGAATTACAGGCATGAGCTGCTGTACCTGGCCAGTATTTATATAGATATGTGTGTGTGTGTGTGTGTGTGTGTGTGTGTGTGTGTAATCTATATATAAATACACATATGGTATATATATGTGTGTATATATAACCTATATATAAATACACATATAGTATATATAGTGTGTATATATATATCCCTATGTAGTATGTATATATATATATATATATATATATATATAAGGGTTTTATATATATATATGTGTGTGTATATATATGTATAACCCAGATTCTACAAGTGCTAACATTTTACCATATTTGGCTTACTATGTTTTCCTAATTTTTTCCCTGAACTTTCTGAGAGTAAGTTGCAGACATAATGCCTATTTACCCCAAAATGAGCATTTAAAAAATTATGACAGCTCATTTGAGTTTAGAGCTTCTGGAGAAATACTTTAGAGTATATTTCTTTAAAATATTTCAATGTATATTTCCTAAATATACAAGGACATTCTCTAATGTAACTGCAATATAATTATCAAAACCAGCATATTAACATTGATGTAATACTAACATTTAACTCTTTCCCTTTGTCATAATAAAGTCCTTTATGACAAAATGAAGAAAAAAGAAATCCCTGTGACCAGTATCCTATTGGGGATCACATGTTGCATGTAGTCATTGTATCTCTTTAATCATCCTTAATCTAGAGCAGTCCTTGAGTCTTTCTTTGTCTTTCGTGACCATGATGTTTTAAAAAGTATAGGCAGGTTATTTTTTTAAAAGGTCATGTAAGCATTTTTTGAGTATGACAGCTCACCTAGGTTCAGCTCTTCTGGAGAAAAGAAGAAATCATGTATCTCTTCAAAAATTTATATCTTTTCTTTTTGAGATGGAGTCTTGCTCTGTCACCCAGGCTGGAATGCAGTGGCGCCATCTCAGCTCACTAGAACATCCGCCTCCTGGGTTCAAGCCATTCTCCTGCCTCAGCCTCCCAAGCAGCTAGGACTACAGGCATGTGCCACCACACCCGACTAATTTTTTTGTATATTTCATAGAGATGGGGTTTCACCATGTTGATTAGCCTAGTCTTGAACTCCAGACCTCCCATCTTAGCCTCCCAAAGTTCTGGGATTGCAGGTGTGAGTCACCACACCTGGCCAAAAATTTGTATTTTAAGAGCTTCATCTTGACTCCAGCAAGATGTCTTACCTAGGACTTAACAGGTTTTTGTTGTTGTTTTATGATGTTTCTCAACATGGGCACGATGGGCATTTTGTACAAGACAGTTCTTCGCTGTGCCAGACTGTCCCACACATTACAGGAGATTTAGCATCCCTGGCTCCTGTCCTCTAAATTCCAGTAGCATTCTCCAGTTGATATGACCACCCAAAACACCCTCTTTTAAGAATCATTGCTCTTGGCCGGGCGTGGTGGCTCACGCCTATAATCCCAGCACTTTGGGAGGCCGAGATGGGTGGATCACGAGGTCAAGAGATCGAGACCATCCTGGTCAACATGGTGAAACGCCGTCTCTACTAAAAATACAAAAAGTTAGCTGGGCGTGGTGGCGCACGCCTGTAGTCCCAGCTACTCGGGAGGCTGAGGCAGGAGAATTGCTTGAACCCAGGAGACGACAGAGGTTGCGGTGAGCCGAGATCGTGCCATTGCACTCCAGCCTGGGTAACGAGCGAAACTGTCTCAGGAAAAAAAAAAAAAAAAAAAAAAAGAATCATTGCTCTATGAAATTTTTAATCTTTAAATTAGGAGACTGGTCTTGCTTTTCATATAGTAGATAGTATAAGCAAAATTTCCAGTTGTTTTCATTATCAGTAATTGGTAATTAAATGGCTAATAACAGAAGTTTTAGCTGAATTCTGTTCAGTTATTTAATTTGCGATATTTAATAAATGATAAAGAGTTAAGTTGATCATATATGTTTTTATATAATCTGAAATGAGAATGCTATTCATTCTAATTAAAGTCAAGGACTCCACCTTAGATATCAACTGAAATAAAATATCCTTGGAAGATTTATGTTAAAACTAGACATTTTACTATTATAAACTTCAGGGGTAAATGAGTGTCCTTGCATTTAGTTCTAATTTTAGTGATGTTAATTATTCTGTTTTTTTTTTTTTTTTTTTTTTTCTTTCAGAACTGGTCCCTAGGAAAGACCTTCTTATAGAAAATGTGCCATATTGTGACACACCAACTCGGAAGCAATGAGTTTTCTAGGATAAAATAAGTCTTTGCACTTTTTAACTTTAAAATCTGTAACACTGGCAAAATCCTGGGAATGTAGACATCTTTCTCTGAACTGGCATATTGAAGATGAATGAATTACAGAATAACTTTATATTTAAATTTCATGTTGAAAGGTCATTACTGAGAACTGAAGAACATAATTAAGTATTTCTAAAGGAAATAAGGAAACATTTCATTTTGTTTGAAAATCAAATGCCATAAAGCAAAATAAATGCTTAGGGAGATACATTCACTTCTCTCTGACCTTGATGAATATTTGGTCTTGCCATAGCTATTTGAGAATGTGGTGTTTTTACAAGTTGGTGAGATTTTTTCCCATATGAAATGCAATTATTAGATTTAAATTATTAGATGAAAATGATATTTAGTCCTGAAAAATATTAAATTGTTCCAAAAAAAATCACAGTGTGTGTCAGCTCTCTGCAGAAGTGGCCTTTATTTTCTAAAGCACTGGGATTTTTTCTGCAGCTAATGTGTAATTGTACAGTTTCTTTTTGGAGATACAGAGTATCTCTGTGTTCTTATAAAGACATTTTTTATCAGTCTTCTGAAAATTGTTGAATAAAATATTAAAATCACCTAGGGTCACCATGGAATAAAGAAATCCTAATTTAAAGTGGAAATAGTGACCCTTGATTAAACGATTTAATATGGCCATAGTAGAATTAGCTGTATTTAGATGAAGTTAGATTTTCTGGTGAAATTTAATAGATGGCTACATTCTCTTTGTTTTAATTAATGAAACTTAAATGTCCTCTCTTCTTCCACATGTCCTGTCCTTGACAAGATGGGCAGTATTACAAAGGGCCAGGCATTCTATCATCTAACACTAGGAACTGTAAAATCCTGTTTAATATTTTTCTTGTTTCTCTTCTATCTGTGTATCTTTGCCATTCTGTTTTCTCAGTTAATAGTATGTTTTCTCCCATTCAATGATAAATTATCTCATTTGATGATGATACAGGGTTTTAAATTTTTGAAAGACTCTCAATGCAAGCATTGTTATGTATCTAGAAATTATACCTAGAGAAAAATGAAAGTTGCTTCAAATTTAAAATTTGCCTTTATAAGAGAATACTGAATGTCATCACAGTATATGATCACTGTATAAATGTGCTAACTTACAGTTATTTTAGTATCTTTATGACATATTTAGAGGAAAGTTAGCTGACATTATTTAAATTTAATATGTATTCTATATTTTAGTATTATTGAATATTTTATCACTGAGCTTTTTTTCTTTAACCTGAATTCCCTGGTACCATTTTTCATTCACATTAATTTAAATATCTCCAGATTTCTTTCTTATAGTCATCATTAGTAGCAGATGAGGTTAATAATTTACATGTTTATTAAAGATAGTGGCTTAGAGATTTTAAGATATATTGATATAGATAGGTAGATGTGATAGTATACTTTCATGCTGTAAGACTAGTTCCTGTTAAGTATATCAACATGTCAATAACAGGCTTGACTGTCACAAAATTCTGAAAGATGTGGCACTCTATTCTTATATAGCATATACTTATTTATTTATTTTTTGAGATTGAGTCTTGCTGTGTCACCCAGGTTGGAGTGCAGTGGCGCAATCATGGCTCACTAAAGCCTTGACCCCTGGGGCTCAGCAATTCTCCCACTTAAGCCTCCCAAATAACCAAGACTAGAGGCATGCACCACCATACCTAGTTAATCTTTTTTATTTTTACTAAGGACAAGGTCTCACTATATTGGCCAGACTGGTCTCAAATTCCTGAGCTCAGGTGATCCTTCCATCGTGGCCTCCCAAAGTGCTGGGATTACATGTGTGAGCCACCACACTCCACCTATTCTTATAAGCATTTATTTATATTTCAAATGCATTTTAACTGGTTATTTAATAGTTTAATTAGATAAAGTAATTCATGAGTTCTTGGCATGTTGCAAAATAAAGATTGAGAATCAGTACTCTAAAAAGCAAACAAATACACCTGTATAGGTTTTATTTTGCAAAAAAAATAATAATAATAATAATTGAAATAGGGTCTTGCTCTGTCATCTAGGAAGGAGTACAGTGGCGGGATCTCAGCTCACTGCAACCTCCACCTTCTGGGCTTCTCCTGCCTCAGCCTCCCAAGTAGCTGGGACCACAGCATGCACATCACCATGCCTGGCTTTTTTTTTTTTTTTTTTTTTTTTTTAGGAGAGATGGGGTTTCACCATCTTTGCCAGGCTGGTCTCAAATTCCTGAACTCAAGTAATTCACCTGCCTCAGTCCCCTAAAGTTCTGGGATTACAGGCATGATGCACTGCACTCGGCTATGTAAACTACTTTTTGAAATGTTGAGGCTGATGATTAAGTACCTAAGTTTTCTGTTGTGTAATGTCAGCATTTAATTAAATCTGTGTGTGTGTGTGTGTGTGTGTGTGTGTGTGTGTGTGTGTTTGGGTGTTTTGTTTTGTTTTGTTTTGAGATAGAGTCTCTGTCACCAGGCTGGAGTGCAATGAATGGGTCGATCTTGGCTCACTGCAGCCTCTGCCTCCTGGGTTCAAGCAATCCTACTGCCTCAGCTAGGTAGCTGGGACTACAAATGTGCACCAAATTAGCCCAGCTAATTTTTTGTATTTTTAGTAGAAACGGGGTTTCACCATGTTGGCCAGGATGATCTCAATCTCTTGACCTCATGATCCGCCCACCTCAGTCTCTCAAAGTACTAGGATTACAGGTATGAGCCACTGCACCTGGTCTTAAATCTTGGCACGGTGGCTCACGCCTGTAATCCCAGCACTTTGAGAGGCTGAGGCAGGTGGGTCATCTGAGGTCGGGAGTTCAAGACTAGCCTGGCCAACATGGCAAAACCCTGTCTCTACTAAAAATACAAAATTAGCTGGGTGTGGTAGCGCATTATGAATTCCAATATGAATGTGTGTCTCTATCTTTTGTCCTCTTTCTTTTCTCTATTGAGTTGTCTGGCTTTTTCTGACCAATCCTTTATATATTCTGGATACTAGTCCTTTGTTAATTATCTTTTTCCAATATGGGACTTGTCTTTTAGTTTATGATAAACTTGACTAGGCTAGGGGATGCCCATGTAGCTGGTAAATATTGTTTCTGGGGTGTCTGTGAGTGTTTTTCTAGAAGAGATTATCATTTCACTTGGTAGTCTGAGTAAAGAATATCACTCTCACCAATTTGGGTGGACATCATCCAATTTTTTGACTAGAATCAAAAGGCTAAGGAAGGGCAATTTGCTCTCTCTGCTTGAGCTAAGACATCTGTCTACTGATATCACTGCTCCTGGTTCTCAGGCTTTCAGGTTAAGACCAGGACTTACACTGTCAGCTTCCAATTCTCAGGCCTTTGGACTCAAGCTAAATTACACTATCAGCTTTCCTGGTTCAGTTTGCACATGGAAGATTGTTGAACTTCTTAGCCTTTGTAACTGTGTGAGCCAGTAGCTATAATGGATTTCCTTTGTCAGTCAATACATAGGCATAAATATACATATATCCTATTGATTCTTTTTCTCTGGAGACCCTGACTAATACTATGTTGAAAGCAGAGTAGGTTTGTGAAGACAGGAGTTCTGGACATGTCTTGATTAAGGTGCTTATTAGATATCAAAGTGGAGATATTAAAAGGACAGTGAATATAACATCTGGAGTTCAGTACATGATCTGAGCTGGAGATATAAATTTGGGATTATTAGCATAGATAAAATACTTAAAATTGGCCGGGCGTGGTGGCTCAAGCCTGTAATCCCAGCACTTTGGGAGGCCGAGGCGGGTGGATCACAAGGTCGAGAGATCGAGACCAACCTGGTCAACATGGTGAAACCCCGTCTCTACTAAAAATACTAAAAATTAGCTGGGCATGGTGGCGCATGCCTGTAATCCCAGCTACTCAGGAGGCGGAGGCAGGAGAATTGCCTGAACCCAGGAGGCGGAGGTTGCAGTGAGCCGAGATCGCGCCATTGCACTCCAGCCTGGGCAACAAGAGCGAAACTCCGTCTCAAAAAAAAAAAAAAAAAAAAAAGAATACTTAAAATTATGACATTGAGTGTTAACAACAAATCTATTGAAAAGTCAAAAATTAGGTCCTGGGGTGCTCTGATGTTAACAGGTTAGGAGAACGGGGAGCAACAAGCACAGGAGACAGAAAAGGTAAGTTAAGGATGAATTAAAGACAGGATTAAAACAAGGAGAATGTAGAGCAAAAGTTGGTGAACTATAGTTCACAGAGGCCAAATCTGACTTGCTGCCTTTTATTTGTTTACATATTGTCTATGGCTGTTTTCACACTGTAGTCAGTACACACAGAGTTGAGTAATTGCAAAAGACACTATAAGGTCCTCAAAGTTTAGAGTTGTTATCTGGCCCTTTCCAGTAAAAGGTTGGTGATCTCTGGTATAGAGTCCTGGAAACCAAGTTTCATTGAAGAGGAAATGATACCCTTTGCCAAATGCTACTGAGAGGTCAAGTAAGATTTAGATTAAAACTTGCCTGTTTGATTTAGCAACATGGAGGTAACTGATGACTTTGGCAAGTCAGTTTCAGTGAAAAACCTGGAGAAACATTGTAGGCTCGTGTTGATTCTCCCCTAAACTGATCTCTACCTTGACTGTAATTGCAATTAAAATTCCAGTAAGATTTAAGGAACTAGTAAAACTCAAAACTTTAGGAAGAATAATAAAAGTCCATAAACAGCTAAATCAGTCATGACAAAGATTAAAATTAGATCTCCGTATCTAAAAAAACTTTGATTCATACCTCATACCATATACAAAAATTAAATAAAAATCAATAATTAGAACTAAATGTACAACCTATGTGAACCCCTGAAATTTGTGACAGGTCTCAATTAATTTAAAAAGTTTATCTTGCCAAGGTTGAGGATGCATGCTCATGACACAACCTCGGGAAGTCCAGAAGCTATATGCCCAAGGTAGTCGGGCAAACCTTGGTTTTTTACATTTTAGGGACACTTGAGACATCAACCCATGAGACTCAAAGGTAGCATTCTTTTGAGTTTTTGCTTAGCATTTCCAAAAGAGGCTATCAGATACGCATTTATCTCATTGAACAGAGGAATAACCGAACAGAATGGGAGACGAGTTTGCCCTAAGCAGTTCCCAGCTTGAATTTTCCCTTTAGCATAGTGATTTTGGGGGCCCAAGATACTTTCCTTTCACACCTAAAACTACAAAACTACTTGAAGTAATCAAGGGAAAAATCTTTGTGACCTTTTTTAGGAAAAGATTTTTTTAGGTATAACACCAAAAGCATAATGCATTTTTTAAAAACTAACTGAACTTCATAAAAATCTTTTGGGCCGGGCGCGGTGGCTCAAGCCTGTAATCCCAGCACTTTGGGAGGCCGAGGCTGGTGGATCACGAGGTCAAAAGATCGAGAC